AGGGAACCCGTTACACTGCGACTGTTACGCGAGGCCCCTTAAAAGGTGGCTGAACACGCACACGGAAACACCGAACGAGTGGACGAACGTTACCTGTAGGACTCCGAATTTCCTAGCTGGGAAACTCTTTTCGGAGGTCACTGAAGATTTTATGAGCTGTGGGGAGAGGGAGGTGAAGGAATACCCTGAATTCGACATCACTCCAGACGTAAAGTATCGAAATATTGAATAGTGAGTATCGAGTATTGATTTATCGAAACTTGGAAAAGGGGGACACGTGTGTTGGCATGGGAGGTGTTGACATTGATGTTAGAATAACAGTAGGTGAAAGTCGTAGTGTGCACCTACTGCACCTACTGCAACTACACCAACACCCCAAGGATTTGCCAAAATGGGGACTAAAACCTCAAATCTCCATATTTATCTTAATCTTATTTTTCAGCAACGAGGACGACAACAGCTGGAAGGCGACTTGGTACGTGACGTCAAGGGAAGACATCGGTGATTTCTATGTTGTGGTGCGCGAATCTGGAAGCAACAAGTTGGCCATCGAAAAGGACCTCATCTACAGCGAGCGATCCTTCAAGATCCAGGATCTTCAGGACTCCAGGTCAAAGTACGAGTTATGCGTCCTCGCGAGGGACTCTGAGGGGAACGTGAAGCACTTCCGAAGCTCTCAGTGTCAGATTCTAACGCAGAGCGCGTTTGATTCTGCGACGAGGTTCATGGGCGCTGTGTCTCTGATCCTAATCGCCTTGTCCTGCAGTATTCTAGCATAACGGCAGGAAAGGAGAGCGTTGCAACAGCGCAGAGATTCTTTCTCGCGACTGTTTTAGGAAACGACGTGCTGTGAAACGAGGGACGCTGACTTTGGAACGAGCAAACCTGTTCGTCTCAAGGTCATACTTTGTTTGAAGCTGTTGGTACATGGTTTCGTGGGTAAGAAGATAATCAAGAATAAGAATCCTTAAAATACTCAATGGTAGGAGGGGGATGTCAAGCATAGGACCTTGATGAATCAGGAAATGAAGAAAGCTAGTTTTCCTAAGACGAGGTCTTCTGGCTTCGACCTTCGATAACAACAAGTAGAGCATGTTTAGAAAATTACCCCCAAACTTAAGAAGGAAGGTAGAGGCAATATTCCTTTGTACTTGCGTGCATTTCTGCAGATTTTTATGGAACTTTCTATACATGTCCATCAACTCCTACAACCGTAGTGTTCTACGTATTAGTTTCTGCATTCAACCTTTTCACTCTTAATTTCACCAATGAAATACATTTCGAAGGCTGCTATATAAATATTTAGCCAAACTTACATCAAAATCGAAGATGGACAAGTTTGGTTGGTTGGCTTGTAAGGTTTTTGCGTCCCAGAATTAAACGTGTAAATAGCGACCTCGAGAAAGAACAATGCCGCGACGTGGATCGTGGCTGTACATAGGTTGTATACGTTACCAGTACCAGAACGACAAAGGCGTTGAACGTCGTGTATTTATTTTTGTAAAAATATACGCTGATCGGTAGTCTTAAGCTCGGAATTCAATTGGTCCTAATCAATTATAGCTTTCCTAATCAAAAGTCCTATCATAGTTTTCTGTCGAGTTTCATATCCCTATATTACAAGACAGTACTTTCAAAACTCTGAAATCCACGATTCTTCGCATTTCAATAAGATTACATCAAGTTCCAAGAAATCTTGGTTTATATATTCATATTTGACAATGATTGACTCTGTTCCTCTTATTTATTAGATTATTTAGAATTAGTTATTCCAACTTCAAAAGTGATTAAATGCGTTAAATTTATGAAATTCTATGTACGTTTCTCCACTTTTCTGGTTATCGTACCTCAGGCATCTTCACCTTACAAACGACGTCTAATACAAGGTGACTGAAAAATGATTAATCGATAGAAGGACCTCAGGAAGGAGATGGTAGCAAGGAATAATTGAAGGTCGTTAGGTAGTTGGGAGGTTGAGACGATTAGTGGACAATTTGTCTTAATAACTCCAGCAGGCTAATCCCTGCGAGCCTAATTCCACAGAGCACGTTGTACCAGCGCTAATAAAGGCGTTTCTCTCGGGGCCCCAGTAAAAAAGTTCTCAAGGAAGTCAGCGGTCTCGCGATCCCCGTGCGCCTAGATGATTTCATTATTCCGTGCTTTATAATTAGCATCCACGGTTATCCTGGAGGAAGAAGAACAGCTCAAGGGGGGTTGGGGGTATTTTTAATGAGGCCGAGGTCCCGTGGAAGTTGTCGCTTCCGCAAAACGATCACCCAGCAAGATTAACGGCGTCAACGCGATCGTCCACGCGACGTTTCACGAACCGTTTCTTCAGGATCATCCGTTGTGTAATTCCATATATCTATCGAAGAAAGTCTAATTTAAACGATGGGCTTCATGTTTCTAAATCAATTTTCCATTATAAACATGTATTTAAACTTGCTTCTACTTGTCCAACCTAAAATACAGTTGATTTTATTATAATTCAGATCGTAATTTTTATCGAGCAAGCAACGTATGGAATATCGTTCATTTTTTATTCGACATCCGAAATTTGTATCCGAATAAGAATGTTGCCCATCTCCGCAACGAGCTTGTTTCGTCGACGCTTAACGGGACATTGAATCAGTAAACGCATGGCGTGCGCGATCGTTATCAACCTCGACGCGAACGGAAAAAACAATCGACCCTTCGAGCCTCCTCTCGCACGAATCGCGAAGGGCGTTTTGCTTCTGTTTCCATTTATTTATTTAACAGGTAAGCCGCTGCCATGGGAACAGAGGAAAAGGAAAGTAAAGGAACACACGGAGTACTGCAAAGAATCCTGGTGTTTCAAAAAAGGTGCATATTTGTAAGAAAATCCACAGGTTCGGGTAGTTGCTCCTTCTTCTAATACGTCCTTCGTTCGTTAGTTGGAGACAATTGGTGACAGAGAATATAGCAAATGAGAAATAATGAGAATTAACAAACGAATGGAATAATGGTGGATCCAGTGATCCTCAGATTGCGACCGCGATCCATCCCGCTGCCGAGACTGCCAGTCGTTAAGGATTACTCGAGATTTATGCGCGAGATAGGCATGGATCCGCGATAACACGTAACCGGAAATTCTCTTTCGTGCGATCGCTTTAATTATCGAATATTTGCGAGGTAGTCGCCGAGGATGGAGTCCAATTAGCTTTGGACCGAAGCGCCGGCGGTCGTTACGAAACCGAATGATTTCTCGTCGCAAACGTAATCGGTATCGGTGGTTCGTTACGAAATCCTTGGACACTTTCACCACCTACGGAGTCCTGGAGTTGCTTTACGAACGCACACGACCGTTCACGAGCGTCCACGAAGACCATTGCGTCCGTGGCTGTCTACCAGAGGCAGACATCCGTTTGTCTGGGCCTCGATCGAACCATAAGGCCTCGAGCAGGGACGTCACTACTAATCTTATCCCCCTAAATCTCAACTTTACTATATCGACCAAAATTATTTTTGTTACAATTCATTTATTAGGGAAGTGGTTTGCTTAGCGAATACGTTAGTGACTTACAGAATACCACCGAATCTCTTCCTTTGGTAAATTTATGCTTTCACAATTTATGCACAATTATTGCGAATAGTTACACTTGCTTTGTTAGACGTGTTGTTTGCCAAATGAACACATCTATGGCTTTACTGTTTCTGAGTACATTACTTGGTCTATCGTATAGATTTGCTAACCTTTTAAAGCCTGATTTTCAACATTAAATTTTTAAAAATATCAATGTATTTATTATTTTAACAATTTTTACAGCTGACGTTTATTTTGTTAACTTTTCTTAAACGATATACAGACAAATATTAAAAACAAACCAATTGCAAGTGTAGAAGAATTCGATTTAAAAGTCCGGTATCAAATTTGAAACTTAGGGCATTTAAGGGTTAAAATAAATCTTATTTGTTAAATGTACTCGAGTCCACTATTTATGCTATACTGTTGCACCCTCCTCCATGGCTGGTGTCTGTAGCCATGGCTGTTCGACGTGGAAGAAATTTATGCGCGCTCCTTCCTTCATTTTTTTGCTCGCGAACGAACCCTCGGTTTCGTTGACCCGACTACACCGCCGCGACTTCCTAAGGAACGCAATAATTATCGATCGATCGCCATCCTCCCATAAATCATGGACCTCTTCACTTATGGAGTAATCGCCGATCAACTTGCTTGCTGACTTCCAATTATTTATTCCAACTTGGGTTTCGTATATGACTGCAAAATATTCTTCTTAATACAAAATTCTATATATTCTTCGAATAAAATTCTCCATGTTTGTGGTTTTTTTTATAATACTGTTACTTTTTTCCAATTCAGATGAAATTTTTGCTCTGAATGTTCCGACTACAACTGTACACTACTTAATTTTCAGGAATAGTAACAATAATTATTATCACAAATCAATATAAAATCACTCCTACATCTACTTGAGCAAAGCATCCTATCATTAACACTAGAAAATCCCATAAAATTGTATACCTCAACCCTGAAGATACTCATTCACATTCTGATTCTGTGTAGTTGTGATTTCCTTATAACTCGCACCATTGTCTTCTAAATTACGCTTTCCTCGTGCTTCTCGACAGGAGAATACAGCAGTAAACTGAATTGAAAAGTGATTCGCTGGAAGATTTCCAGAGGAAGATTTAACACGGTACACAGGACGACCAGTTCTCGGAAGCTGGACAGTGGACACACGCATTTACATAGTCTACTTTGGGCAGTGACTCACGCTCCAGTACCAGTCCCCCGTGAATCTGTGTACTCGTACGGCTCTAGTAGAAAAGTAAACATTCTACTTTGTCAACACCGTAAATTCCAACGCTCCTTCTGAGAAACCCTAAATGTAAGAAAATATTTTCAGTGGCAGAATTTTCAGAAATCCCCCTCTACTTACGAAGGGTGGGGATATCAGGAGTCAGATGCTCACGTGCGCCGCAGTTAATAAGATATTGCCCCGTTCCGCGTCGACGTCGGGCCCAATAGGTTAGGTGCGCGGCGCATCTGTGTATAGGTCGAATTCTCCCGCCAGTCGTTGGGGCCCGTCAGTGTCTTTCGCGTCCTCGCACGGCTAACATCTCCGGCTGGTTCGCGTGCATTTCGCGATTCGTTCCTTCGCGTTCCTTTTGTGTGTCGCGCGACGTGTCGAATTCGGATCGTAGCAAGGTGGACTCGCAAGGACGTTGAGTAAAACTCGTCCTCGGAGTCCTGGCAATCCGACTAAATGAAACTTTTCTGCGGTTAGAGCCGAAATACTCCGTTCCTTTTCCTTTTTCCTTTTTCCTTCTTTCTCCCTTCCCCCTTCTCTTTTTCTCTCATCCCTTTTCACCTTCCTTCTTCTCGATTTCAACCCTCGAGTGCACGATCGACCATTGTGGATCATGGAGACTGGATTCTGGAGACTGGCCCTCTGCTGGATATTTGTCGTCGGAGCGGCGCGAGCAAACGGTGAGCGATTCGAGGATTTGTTAATCATTGAAGCGGGTAATTGTATAACCGCTTTGGATTGAAATTCATGACACGTTGTGGTTACATTTTTATCGAGCCGATTGTTTGTAAACGAGTCAAGAATGTCTCGGCCGTTGGTGTCTGGGACTGTAGATAATCAGACTTTCGTATACTATATCTCGTGAAATATTAGAGTTACTGCAAAAATAAAAAAAGTTTAATGTTGTATAGAAAAGGTGAAATATAATTTGTTCGTATAGTCAATGGTTTACAAGTTGGAATTATTGGGAAAATTGAAATTTAGGTTGATACGATATCATCGAACTTATATTTCTGTGCATTTACTACAAAATTGTTCGATATATACATATGTCTAAGAAAAAAGAATCTTTAATTTTGGAGCATGTACAATATTAGAGCACAACTGTGAGATACTTGACGTGTTCTTTTTAACGATTAGATAAAGGTACCAGCAACAAATCAGTTTACTAAAAATGTTTTTATAATTGAAACCAAATAATGGACTAGACGGTGAAAAGAAAACGTGTCATGAGTTTCGAGAATCTCGACGTGTCACGTGGTTGTCGGGAGGACTCAAGGTCGACAGACATACGTTCACTAGTCCATTGCGATACTCGATCTCTCCGATACTCGATGCTTTCGAATCTGCGCATCCTTTGCAATACAGACGGGAACAATTATATCGATGTAACAAATGTCGAATAAAATGAACGTATGACGACTTATTACCACTCGTTACAGAAAAAGTGGAATATTGCTTGAAAGAGTATCTTTAAATCTCTTGAAAACCCTCGAACGTGTTGTCAAAATTTGTCGGTACAGTGATCCTTTTTCACACATTATTCACACTCCGAGGATTTCAAATAAATTCTCAGAGGTCTCAAAGAATCGATATAGACCACCAAAAATGGTCTACGACTTTCTTTATCTGAACTTGAAACGTAACGTTGCCTAACGGAGTTGGAATTAATTTTGCGCGTGTCGCATTAAATTTACCGTTGCCCTGCAATTAGTCTGTTCTCGCAGAAACGCATAATTTGAATAGCCTGAGAATACCAGCATTGAAGACACTAAGAATACATATCGTATGTGGAACAAATCTTCGCGTTGCGTACGCAATTTCGCAAACGATTACTCCTAGGAAGCATTACGTAAACATTTGAATAACAAAAGCCTCTGGATTCGTGCGACTTTCGCGCGGACCATAACATCGCGAATCATAATAATACTCGATGAATCACACGATCCCCTGTACATTTCACTATTCGACTCTTATTGCGTGATCCTTTATCCCAAACAACAAACTTCGGTCGTGGGTAGGTCGTATACCTGGTGATGAAAGTAAAAGAGAACGTTCGACTTTATCCCCTTCCAGTGGGGTATTATTGTGTAGAATAGACCCAGAATTAACCTTTTGGCTACGGGACAATTTTTGCTGGAAACTCGACGAGGCGTACAGGTCTGAATTTTAAAGATATATCACCTCATAGGGGATGATAAGACGAAACTTTTTTGTATTTATAGTTTATTCATAGGACGCTCACTTTCAAAAATAAAAATTCAAAACTTGGATCATTCTCCTGAAATTCAATTGTTGCAACGAAATTCTAATATTTCAATTTTTATTTTCAAAACTAAGCGTTCCATGAATAAACTGGATAAACGTACATGGATAAACTTTATGTACTTTTATTTAGTCTAAACATTTGTTGCGAATGGGTATAGAAAGAAGGAAGAAATTTTGATTTACCCTAGCGCTTTATGTGCGTTTAGATGGGGCCCCGAAATTCCATTTTATCTCACCCTGTGCCCTTATATCAGGCCTCCGAATTCCATTTTGTCTCGAACCCCGCAGAGATTGTTATAAATTGCGCCAATGTTCCCCTTAATTGCAGTAGGATTCATCACGAACGGATCGCGAATACATGAAGAAACCAACGACATTCTCAAACAGAAAGGATAGATCTCGGCGTTCTTTGATCCAGCGCAACGTCGTGTTTTTGCGAAATCGAACGGAAGACATATTGTTCTTGATTGCTTCCTCGCAGTGATTCTCTTCTTCGAGTTAATTCCTCGGCGTAAGCTTAATGGGGCTCGATCGACCACGATCGATTATTCTTCCTCGCTTCTCTGTTGCGCCGCAAATTCTCGTCCGCCATGTCGGCGAAATTCATTATCTCTGTTAGGCCTTGTAATGGACATAATTGAAGCGACCCGCGAGTATGCTCGACTCGTGGTTTCTTTCTGTCGCGAAAAGAAAGGGAAGGTGATGTGGAAAGTGACTTTTTCACGCTCAGAGTCGCGCCCCAAATTCCTCCTTATCGATGTCTGGAGAAATCGTTTGAGGAGTTTTCATCTCTACACATCTTTTCTTTCGAATTTTCACGAATATTTACCGTCTACTTTGGAAACAGTAAGCAACATTTTCTGGCTGTGACACTTGATATCAATATAAATGATTTTCTCTGTAAATCAATTTTAACATTCAAATATGCGTCTCGCTTTAGTATGGAATATAATTTCATTCTAAAATGTATTTTGTAATCGTAAGTAACGGAAATTTTTATATAAAAATAAACGTACATATACATACAATCAGTGCCATAAATATTCTTACCCTCTATCTCTATTCAGTAAAGTCTAAATAAAATGACAGGTCTGATGTTTTCAAATAAATTGTTCGTTATAAAGATATACACGTGCAATGTTTATTTACGTACAGATTTATAATGAAACATTTATTTGGAAACATCGAGTCTATCATTTAATTGAGACGATTTATACTTTCCACCGCAACAAAACAACCACCTAAGTAAAATTTCATCCATAAACGACAAAATTGATCCGAGTTATAGAGAGATCTGAAACTCGCAGATGTTGTGTTTCATATTAATAATAGGCATCTGTCGACTGATTTCAGTCGATAGTTGCAGTTATCTTGTTGCTTCTGTATCCAAAGAGTCGATCATTTGAAAGAGAGACCTCTAGTAGTAGGTGTTATTTTCCCCTGTAAGTTTAGAGATCCCTCGATAAAAATACAAAGTACACAGAACCAAGAGAGTAGGAAGCTGTTTCGATTCGATATACTGGTGAACGTTTCGCCGCGCCGCGCCGCGCCGCGCCGCGCGCCATCGGAAATGAAAAAGCGGAGATCGAGCGTAACGCAAAGAAACGCATTCAATCACGGAATAAATCGAGTTGTTCGATTAAAATAAATTGGCCATGCCCGCGTTGGTTCTTGGCGAGATGAAATACATAGTTATCGGCGCGGTTTCGAGATATCGGCCGTCTCCCTCTCGCGAGAAGAAGACGAAAGCTCGGCTTGGAAACGCGAGGAATCTCGCGGGAAAGCGAAAACCAACTCGCGGAGACGGTATTCCGTGCGTTTCGCGATCGGTTGAAACACGTGGCGAGGAATGAGGAATAACGAGAGTACCAAGGGTCGTAGAGTACCAGTGACGTAGCCATGGGACTGCAGACCACGCTTCAACGTGGTTCGGAATAACTTTAGGTGTTTGTTTATTCGGTGGCTGGCTCTAAACTAGACCTGGGCAAATTTTCATTGAAATTAAAGTAAGATACAACCGTTTGAAATGATTTATTTTGGACTGTTATCTTCGGTACAGTTGTTTGAAAATAAATGTAATATTAATGCATTTAAAATAATAACTGTTTCAATTATCGAATTATTTCTTTCTTTTATTTCCAATTTAAGGAAAGAAATAATCCGCATAATATTAACATATCAAAATAGAAGATATAATATCAATTTGCTTGAAATAATAACTACTTCAATTAATGAATTATTTCTCGATTTTTTAAATTTCCAATTATACGAAAGAATTAATCCTCGAAATAGCATATCGTAAATAATTATTAAGTAATATGTTAATGTGTAATAATATGTTATTTGAAATAATATTTCGAAAACTGTATTTCAAATACTAGAATTTCAAAAATACCCTAGTTTGTTCTGACCCAGCCAACCGAAGCGTTATATAGAATTAAAAGTTGGCACGTAGACCGTTAATCTCTAATCTTATTCGTTTATGCCGTCAAGCTTATCATTGGGTGAATTTATTTGTTCGCATTGCGCGGAAGCAATCATTCCTTCCTCGTTGGCGTTTCAACGTAACGATAATTGGAAAAATGTGATGGAATAATTGAGATGATATTGTGATCTAGCCACAGTGTTTCTCAAACTCCACTTTGCTAGGGTACAATTAAATTGCTATTTTCTGAATTCAATTTAACGCATTTTTTTTCTTGCGACAGTTGAATCGTTTTCATTAAATTTTAATCATGATGTATCTTTTTAATTGATTAGTCGATTCTCGTAGGTCCTTTTAGAATTTATTTAAAAAGATATAATAATTTTGTTTAATTTAATATCTCAAGATCCAAATGAAAATTCTGCCTTAACGTAACGATCGACGTGTATAATATTGTATTCGATCTAAAATCCCTAAATCCTATCAGTAATTAATAAAACAATCGATGGATTCAACTGATTTAACCAAATAAAAATTCTATCTTAGCGCATCTAATTGTAAACGTAAACACTTGGATGATACTTATTCTTAAAAATGAGAACGATTTCGATACCAACTAGGTGAGACCGTAAGCGCTCGTCTAGGGATAAGTGGAGCAGAACGAACGACATGCAGAGAGTCCTGAAATCTCGTTGGATGGATTTGCTGCGATTAAAAATGGCGAACAAGTGTCGAGGAGCTCGCGTGACGCGTCCACCGTTTTCGCGCGTTATTAACTCGTTATCGTTTAGGGGGCTAGTAGACTCGTGGACGATTTACGATTGCTCGAACGTGTCCAGCTGCGAGCGTGCAGTGCGTTATGCAAAAAGTGTAACGGATTCGCGTGCCTATTGGCGGCTGGAACAACGGTCGTCCATCTGTGCAGCCTCGATAAGTCATGGCAATTAAAGGGTGGAAGTCATCCGGGAGACACTCGCGATATCGAAG